CATGCCACAAATATTTGTTGAGAACATACTATATACAAGACACTCTTTTAGGCACTGGAAATACAGTGGTGAATGAGAGAGTCAAAATCCTACATGTTAAGGCTCTGAAAGTATCAAAAAATCATGATAGTACTGAAAGTGGGAAGACTAGGGATAGGTTGGTAGGGGGAATGGAGAGTTCAATCTTCAACATGTTAACTTTGGAATGCCTATAAGAGATCTCAGTGAAACTGTCAAGTAGGCAGTTGGGTACAGATATCTTGAGCTTTTTTGTACACAGTTCCTCTTCATTAACATAGTAATTTAAGGTATACTGTTTATTTTTTTAAAAAATTAATGAATTATTGGCATCTTTATAGATAATAGTATATTAATTAATACATAACATATTATATTGAATATGTCAATATGAAGGATCAACACATATAAGCTGATTTCTTAACACAAGATTATATTCTCAAAACAAAACGGAAACTTACTATGAGAAACTTATTATAACTCCACTTCTGAGAATATTCTTTACTGTTAGCAATTTTTTAAAAAATCTCAACAACTGATAAAAATCCAACAAAATATATTAGACACTATGAAAAATACTATGAAACTTTGAAAAACATTAAAAATTAGAATCTCAACCATTATTTTTGCTTACATTAAAACTGAACAGTTACTTTTACTGAAATTAAAATCTCAACAATAGTTTTTGTAGAAAATAAAACCTCAGCATCTATTTTTTTTAGATATTGATAAGAACATTGACACTCTTGAAGAACAGAAATAAGGTAGAAAAGACTTTTCCTATCAGATATCAATAAAAGCTGCAATAATTAAGATAATGCCATTTTGGCACAAAGTTGGACAAATAGGCCAATGGAATAGAACAGAGAGGCCACAAATAATTCCAAGAACATATGAACTCTTGATATTTGACAGAGCTGGAATTGTGAATGAGTGAGGAAAGGAGAGATTTTCAACAAATGATATGGGGCATTTGGGTATTCATAAGGGAAAAAATGAAATTTGACCTCTATTCTCACACTCTACACAAAACTTAATTCTAAAAATATTAAAGACCTAAGAGTAAAAGGCAAAACTATATATGTTTTAAATATTAACATAGGGGAATATCTTCATGATGTTGGGGCAGGGAAGGATTTTTTTTTGAAAAGATACAAAAAGCAATATGCATAAAGAATAAATGTTGAAAACTTTGACTATATTATAATTAAGAACTTCTGTTTATTGGAAGGAACTATCAAGAAAATGATAAAAAAAATACGAGACAATGTAGGGAATGATATACGCAACACATGTAAAAAATAAAGGACTATAACTAGAATATATAAATAACTCTTACAAATTAATTTGAAAAAGGCACAATTCTCAATAAGAAAAAAAATGTCAAATGTCTTGAATAAATGCTTCACAAAATAAGAAATCTTAATGTCCAATAAGCATATGAAAAGATGCTCAACATCATTAATCAGGAAAATCAAATTATGAGAGGCCATTTTACACCCACTAGATGGGCAAAAATTAAAAATCTGATAATACTGTATGTTGACCAGCAGGTGGCATAATGGAAACTGTTAAACCCTACCAGTAAGGGTGAAAATTGGTACACCATTAGGAAAAGTTAGGAATCATATAGTAATGCTGAATGTTCCCATACCCTATAAACCAGCAACTCCAGTCTTGGCTAAATATCCTAGAGATGACTGCATTTGTGTACACTACCAAGAATATTAGTGGTAGCACTGTTTTTTAACAGTCAAAAACCGGAAATAATCAGAATGCTTCTCAAAGTTATCATGGATAATGTGGTATTTAATATACTATTTATACAACAATATATACAAAAAAGTGAAATAACCAAACAACAATGAGATACCACTACATGCCTATTAGAATGGCCAAAATTTGGAACACTGACAACAGCAAATGCTGACAAAAAGTGTAGAGCAACAGGAACTTTCATTCATTGTTGGTGGGAATGCAAAATTGTACGACCACTTTGGAAAACAGTTTGGCAAGTTCTTAAAAAACTAAACATACACTTATTATACAACCCGGCAAATTTGCTCTCTGGTATTTATCAGAGGATTTGGAAATATGTCCACACAAAAATTTGCACACAGATGTTTATAACAGCTTTATTCATACTTGTCCAAACTTGGAAGCAACCCAAATGTCCTTCATTAGATGAATGGATAAATAAGCTGTGAAACACACAATGAATTTTATTCAGTACTTAAAAGAAATGAGCTATAAAGCCATAAAAAGACATTGAGTAAAGTTAAATGCACATTACTAACTGAAAGAAGCCAATCTCAAAAGGCTATAGACTATATGATTCCAACTATATGACATTCTATTAAGGGTTAAACTACGGAGATAGCAAAAAGATCAGTGGTTGCTAGTAGTTGGAGGGGGATGAACAGGAAGAGCACAGAGAATGCGGTGGGGCAGGCAGTGAGACTACTCTGTATGATGCTATAATGGTGGATACATGTCATTATACATTTGTCCAAACCAATAGAATGTGCAACACCAAGAGTGAATCCTAATGTAAACTATGGACTTTGAGTGATAATTATGTATCGATGTAGGCTCATCAATTGTAAATAATGTACCATTCTGGTAGGGAATGTTGATAATGGGGGAGGCTATGAATGTGTGCGGGCAAGAGTATATAGGTAATCTTTGTACCTTCCTCTCAAATTTGCTGTGAACCTAAATCTAAGAAACAAAGACTTTTTAAAAAAGTAAATTTATCACAATTTAAAAAAATGAAATAACTACAGCTACCTGCAACAACATGGATGAATCTCACAAATAATGTGAAGTGAAAGAAGATAGGCACAATTCCAAGTATATAAAGTATATAAAGCTCAACTATCTATAAAACAAAACTGTTGTTCAGGGATGCTTACTTATATGGAAGATAAACCTATAAAAAAAAGCAAAGAAGTGATATCGCAGTAGTCAGGATAGGGGTTACCTCTAGGATGGTGGATGAATGCGATCACTGGGGGTTGCGGGGGCAGGGGGAGTGAGGGAGTAGAGGTTATCAAGATATTCTATTTCTTGTCCTTGGTGGTCATTACATGGGTGACAGCTTTATAAATGTTCTTTTAACTGGCAGTTCTCTTCTGAATGCTTCTCTTTCCTTAACGAAATGTAAAGCAAGGTCACCAACTGGGATTGAGGATGGGGAGGGAGGTGTTGAAGATTTGATGAGAAGGAAGATGGTATGAAAGAAACACAGAAGTTGGAGAGTGAGTGGAACAGAGAAATATAGAATTTTTAATCTTTTCTTTTATGTAAAATTTTCATGTTTTTTTCTGATTTATTATGCTTTTTATCATATGTAACATTATTTTATTAATATATTACACTATATGCAGTTATCCCAAACATGTAGTTAAATTATACTATTTAATGTTTCAAAATAAATTTTAAAAGCAAAATTAAGTTTTAATAAACCATATAATTGTGATTATTTTTGTAATACAATATCATTTATTATTTCTACCTTGTGCTTTAGAAAAGCTGATGTAGTTTATATTTAGACAAAAATACACAGGGCTTATGCAGGGATTTTTATTAGTCTTCTTTCAACTTTCTATACCAAGGAGCTTTAGTGTTAAATTCTATACTTTATAAGTTTTACACAGACATACGTATTTATTATCTCCTTATTTTATTGCTCTCTAGTCCAAAAGCCATTTTTATATGTCAGAAAATATAACATTAACAAAATAAATCTTGACATTTAAAATTACTAGAAAACTATTACACTCCTAAACTTTACTCAGAAGATTTAAATTGAAAAAGTTGATAGGTTCATATAATTTTATAATTTTGCCTAGGTTTTTGTGTGAACCAATTTATAAAAATCAATTAAATTATAATATGCTTTAGTTATAAATCCATGTTTATGTTATAATTGCATAGCTTCGGGTATTAACATACTTAATGTAAATTTAGTTTTTATAAAGGCAGATATAGTCAACTGAAACGATTACCACCAATGTGGCTTTAAAATATGCTATGTTTTTATTTTCTATGCTCTATAACTGGGCCATTGTCATAGAGATAAAAGTCTTTTTAAAAGAATTTGAATCTACAAATATTGAATCTAGAAATATAAACATTTCAACTCTTGGATAATTCAGGAAAAATATGGTTTGTGTATAAAAAATGAATTCTCAAATAATAAAGCTACCATTAATAATGTTAACAATTGGTGGATTTGGGTAAAGGGTATATGGGTGTTCTTTATATTTTTCTCATGCTGGCAACTTTACTATGTTTTAAATTATTTCTAAATAAGAAGAAAATGAAGAAAGGGACATAGACTGACATAGTGACTTAAGTGGAAATTGACAGCATACTTGGAAATAAATACATCTCTTGGACAAAAAGGAGAGTATAGTAGTTTACCCTCTTCAGCTTAAAAACCAAAGCCATTGCTAAGTTATAAATTTGTATAAATATTATTTTCTTCCAAGCTAGCCTTGAACTATAACTAGCTACTGTTCTATTTTTCCTTCCCTTGTGCATACTGTATCTCCTGTCCTTGAATCCACAAGCAGAGTACTGTCCCCCCCTCCATTTAGGTCTGCATGGGATCAGACATGGGAACTCATTTACAGCTATTTGGACCAGCCATTTCCCGTTGACTTTGCTGGCAAATGCTCTTTGATCTCTTATCACCTACAGCTGCATCTTTAATTTCTGTGATATTCAATGAGGAATTATCACTACCAGGATCTATAATCAGGTCATTATAAATGACAAATCCAGTTCAGTAAGGAGGTGCAAATGGAGGTCATTATCACATCTATAAGGAGAAAACTGCAACATGTCATCTTGGAAATCCTCAAAATTCCAGTTGAAATGAATGGGACAGTTAAGCAATGTTTCTGTTGGTAAAATTTCAGTTCCTATAGCGTTTCTAATAGCAAACAAGCCATCAATAACACACTCTTCAAATGTTCCAGTTGAAAGTCACTTTTTATTATTATTATTATCATCAGCAGTATCTTTATCATTAGCACAAAACTAATCCACTAATAAAAGGAAACAAAATCACACCCCAAAGGCGTGTGTTTTGCCATGGTTGGGATGGGTCAGTAACATTATCTTCATGTACAAGGGACAGTACCCTGAGGATAAAGACCATATCACAGCTTGATATTAAATTCAACAATTCAGCCAACATTATTGAGCACCTAGGCACAATGAAAGATCTAAAATGTGTACAAGAATCCCTGCTTTCAAGGAGTTTTACAGTCTAGTAGGAGGTATTGAAGAATACCAAGAACACAAGGCCACATGAGATCAGTGAAATAATGGAATCAGCGGCATACATGAAGTGTTATTCGAGAGGGGTATCACAAGAGACTACCATTACATTCAGTTGTGGGAAATCAGGAGAGGCTCCACAGAGAAGGTGGCATCTGAGCTGGGCTTTGAGGTTTTCGAAGGATTTTGGCAGACTGGCATGTGAAGGGCACTACAGATGGAGACTAGTGTGGGCCAAAGCACGGCTGTGGGAAAGTTTGAGGCATGTCTGGGGAGAGAACAATAGTCCAGTTTGGCTGATGTATGAAATCTATATAAGTGAGAGTGGTGTGATGAAATGCTGAAAGTTACGTTGAGGACCATATTTTGAATGGCTAAGACTTCTGATCTTTATGTCATAGTAACTATATTTATCCACAGTGATAAAATATGCAATGATTTGTGAAAAAATGTGATCACTTCACTTCTAGATTTCTTAGGGAAACTCAAGTGGTTTCTAGGCAATGTCATTCCCTTGCTATCAAAAATGTCCCAGCAGATAACCCCAAGCAATCTATAGTAATTTTTTTTCTATTTTGCATGCAACTAAATCTCTTCCTTCAAAGTGTTTTTTTTTTCCATCCATCCAGGGACCATACCTCTCCCCACTCCTACCTCCAGCCCTACCTAATTTAAGATTTCCAGCCACAACCACCACCTTGAAGTTAGGACTCACAGTCTTGAAAAGTGAGAGTAGTGGTAGTAGGGATAGTCATGAAATGTCATGAAAACATAGCCATCTGAGAAGTTCTATGGAATCTCTATACTAAGAGTCAAGCTTAGTTCTTTGATATTGGAGTTTCTGATCTTCTACTCAGTTTGGTCCAGAGAAAAATTGGAGGGGTCCCAGAACTTATAGTACCAAATTAAAATCCTTTTAGAGTTTCCTCTATTGTCAAAGAATGTCTTAAAGGAATGACATTTCATCTAAGTTAAAAGTTATTTAAAAGTCTCCTGGGTCTAAGGCTGTTGAAGCTGTGGTTAGATAGGAGTAACTCTTTTTCTGATCAAGGAAGGCTTTGTCTGTGCCCAATAGGCTGGTAGTTGGGAACTTCTCTAGTGCACTGACAGTTCAAAGACGTTAAAGAATGATTGTATTAGGTAACCAAGCTGTAGAAGTAAGCTATTTAGACCAACCTGGGAAGGCTTAGAATAACAAAGGTGCCATGGCCACACTTCCTGCAGCTAGTCAGTCTTTCAGCTCTTTCCTGGAATGAGACCTCCTCTGCAGGAAGTCATGGATAGCAGTAGTGAGGCCCCATGTCACACTGGATCGTAGGATGACCAGGGAGCCTCCACGGTAGATCAGGAACACCTTTCGGCCCCGAGTGTCCCACACATCTTGGGCAGAGGCCCATAGGCTGGGCATGCTCTGCCAGCCAATATGGGACTGCATATTGGCAACTAGCACAATCAGAGGATAAAGAATTAGGCAGGTGATTGTTCCATTGACACTCCCAGATACCAAGGCGGGAACCCAATGGGGCAGGCCTTGCTCTGCCAAGCCATCCTGGATGGGGTCCTTGAAGGAGAAATACAGAGCACTCCCCAGGCTGTTCCTGAGAAGGACAGGCCAGAAACCACGATAATAGCCCAGTGACATCCGCCCCCAAAGCCCATAAGAGTTGAATTCCTTGAGAATGCTGAAGGTGCTAGGGAAACGAGCTTGCTTGCGACCATCCTGGAGCACATTTTGCACCCTTTCAAAGGGGCTGAGTGCCACAGCCTCCACCACACCAGACATGAGCCCTGCAGCCCAACGGTGTCCTAGGGAGTGTGGCCCATCAGGGGAGAGAGAGAAGAGCAGGCTATCATAAGTCCCAAACAGTAGAGTCCCTTGCAATGTCTTGGAGAGAAGAGGTGGGTAGATTCCCCTGTAGAAGTATTGAGGACCTTCATGCCAAAGCTGTCGCAGAGCCTCTGACACCGCCACAGCATGGATCTGTTGTCGGAACACAACCTTATAGATAGGAAAGGTGAGAAAAGTAGACATAAAATTGGAAATGGCCCCAAGGGCGTAGGCCTGAGAGTGCCAGATTTTCTTCCCAGGTGCCTCTGCTCGCATCCAGTGCTGAAGCTCCTTCCCGGGAGAGTGGTTCTGTTCCCCCATGCTGGAGACAACTGGGTGCAGGCAGAAGAAACTGGAAAGAGCAGAAAAAAGAGGTTAGACTGACCATTAAATCTGTTGGTGAGCGTTTTCACTGCTTAATTAGAAAGAGAGACCCAGGAAACTCAGGTCTAAGGAAACAAGCCACTCTTTGGGCCAGTCTCTGAGAAATAAGCACACTCTTAAGAAAGAATTCATCAACCTTAAATTAAAGGCAGTTAGTTTTTCTGAACAGAGTCGCCTCTACAATGTTTTGCTAACACAGCAAATATTTTAATATTCAAGGAGGTTGAAGATTAAAGAAAATAAAATTGGGGAAGAAGGCCTACAAAACCTATTGCATTCAACTTTCACCACAATTTTGCATTTGATAAACTACTAGAATAGTAAGTTGCTATTTTCTTTCCAAAAAGTGGCACTATCTTGTAGAGGCAGAAAGGCATTCAAAAGTTGTAGTCCAGTACTTTCTCTAAAAGTTGGTAGAAACTTCGGAAGCTGGGAGTCTCCTCATCTCCCTTTCTGTAGATTCCTGCCTTTGTTGTAGCTGTTTCATGGCAACTCCCCCCACCCCAATGAGGAAAAGAAAGAGGAGCTGTTCCTAAAAATTCAGCATGAAAAGGCTCTATACCTGGCAGAGGCTCTATACCTGGAAATTTCCAAGCCTAACCTTGTAAACCTATAGCTATATAATAGAGCATGGGTTCTCAACCTTAACACATTTCACATCTTCGGCCAGATAATCCTTTGTTCTAGTGCCTGTCCTGTGCATCATAACATATTTAGCAGTATGCTGGCCTTCACTTGCTGAATGCCATTAGCACCAACTGAACCTACCCAGCTATGATAACCAAAAATATTTTCAGATGTTGCCATTTGTCCTGGGGGAGGGGCACAAAATCGCCCTTGGTTCAGAACCACTACACTAGAGGAAAGAGGCAGTGTAAAGACAACAAACAATTGCTCCTACCCGGTAATGGTACAGGAGCAAGTGGAGTAGTATGAGAAGTAACTGGGGACCCAGGGCATATGAAAGAAGTTTGAGATTAAGAAGAAATGAATGCTTAGTGCAGATCTGAGAAACTGAGGGTGTTTGTCGTGAAGAAAATATGGGCTCCACTGGGCTGAGAGGACAGTGTGCTGCAGTGGGAGATGGTGTGCTGAGGAGAAGAAGCATAGGTGTACGGGCAGGGGGCAGGAGGCAGGAGGAGGGGGGAGAAGGCAGATGAGCTGGCTGGGTATTCACATGCAGATTAACAGGAAGCTTGGTAGGAACTTCAGACCCAGAGGTTTCACACAGAACCCCCTGGGCTGTGTGGTCCTGAGGAGAGGGAGGTGTCAGGGCTCTAATTATGCTAGCAGTTGATGGCCCCTCAATAGGGACAAAGGAGTCCGCCTGGGGAGGGGCAAGGAGAAGCCAGGCACTGCCAGAAGTCCACTGCAATTTTCCCTGGGCCACTGCACACAGAACCTGCCTTGAAGGGCTTCTCTTTCCAGAACCACCCCATCAGCTCCCATCTGGCTTCTTGCTCCTGCTCCATCCATGACCCCACAATCTGACCTCACAACCACC